CCTAGAGTCTGTTCGTTTAAATTGACGCTCCTGTAAAGGGTAGAATTTCGGTTGAGAAACGCTGGTCTTGGGTGGTGTAAGTGGAGAAAAGCAGAAGAAAGTGGCACGCTTGAGCCAGCTTTAGATCCTCGCGTCGCGGAAAGCCATTCATCCCGTATATGAAAATTTAAGTAAGAACGATCTTCTCGAGCGTCGTTAAACTGATATCGTCAAAATAATAATGGTTACGGCGCGTGTGCTTGGAAAAAAGATTACATTTTAAAATTATTCCACGTGGTTACGTACACCAATGTTTATTTAAACCTGGAAACTTCCAATTGTGGTCAGGTTCTGAAGATTTCGGCTCACCAGTGTACAGGTTTCGTTAGAAAAGAATTTCAGTGAATCGTGACCTCCATGATTCGATGCAGAAGGGTTTAGTGTAGCGGCTTACCTGGTTCAAGGGTGCCAGTGACTGGTCCCCTTGCAACTGCAACCAAACGTACCCTAGAGCATGCACGAATGTCCTTACCTGAGCTCCAAATAGTGATTCCAACCTGCATCGCAAGATGGCGCGGTGCATTACGCTCGAAACTGCAACTGTTATCGCGCGTGCTCGTACGAATCGGGAAACAATAAAGAAACGCAGCTTCTATTATTACTTGAAAATTCTTTAAACGAATCAGTAAATGACCCGATTCTTACCGTGGAAGGTATTGAAACGCAGTTTCGTTATCAGAAAACACGATGGTCGAGCGGCGTTGCGAAACGCGTTATGCAACGTACCTAATAAGCGTCTGGTAGTAACGCCTCGGAACGAGTTAAATAATTTATGTAACGAGCATTTTATAGTCTGCAAATGCGTGAAACGAATCGCCCCTTTGGCTTTTCAACCAATCGATTAATTAGCATCGAGGATCAATTAAGGATGAGGTTAGGTTTTGCGACAGTATTTACAGCTGCGCTTTTCCTCTTATTCAACCTAAACGTATTCTAATTATAATTTATTCTCAAATATTCCGCATATCTGTTACGAAGATATTATTATTTTAGAGTATTTTATTTGATTTCCAAAAAGTCGTGGAAATAATATTCGAGAATCCCATCTGTAGTGATTATAAACAGGAATAGAATGCAAATATTAAATTTTGTTGTTAATTAAATTTTCTTTGTGTCCGTCATTTATAATCTTACCGTGTTGTTTCTCCCATCGCCAAATAACATGAACAAGTCGTCCGTTCCACTCTGTAGGAAATACGAACCCAAGAAAAGCTCGTCCGCGAGGGTGGTGGTTGATAGGGAAGGGGGTGGCAGCAATCGAAGCGAGTGTGAGTGATGCAGACGACACGGGTTATTTAAAAACAATGTGGTTTATTTGAATCGCACAAGACATACACCGTATCTGCTATGTTTATAATTAGGGACTTCCCCGTGGTAAAGTCGGTCAAAGAGTGTCGCGTTCTTTGGCCGTACTTCGCCCGAAGACGCCTGCGTTTTCGTATTGCCTTAATGTCGATCCTCGGTTCAAAAGTGCTCCAAACGCCAGGTTAACAACCCAGCCGTATCTCTAGAAACCGAGCTTCGGATTATTTACCCTGGATCAGAAGATTTTTCGCTAAAAATCCAATTTCCCTGCTACCGATACCTTTTGTTCGCCTCGTTTCGTTCACCCGTCAATTGCTTCGCTCGTCCGCGTTCATCCTTGCGTGGTTCTCTCTCTTTCTCTCTCTCTCTCTCTCTCTCTCTCTCTCTCTCTCTCTCTCTCTCTCTCTCACTACCTCTCCCCCCGTCGCTTATTATATTATAGGAAATACTTCTTTTTTTTTTGTCATCTTTATTTAGCTTTATTTATTTTAACTGTCTAGATACTTCGTTTCGCTATACTTCCGACATTCTTCTTTCCGTCTGGGATTATCATTTACCATTTTTATTTTATTTTTTTTATTTTTTTTTTTTTGTTTATTTTATTTTACTCGATTTACCCTGTGTAGAAACGTTAGAAACCGACCGCCGGGGACACGACGCGATCAAACACCGAGCGACGATCTCGACGATCGAAACCATCGGGATTTCGAGTTCCGTTCGCGGCGTGTCCCGCTGGCCCGATCGCCCGTTGCGAGATTTGCGTGTGTGATTGAGTTTCATTACTTTTTTTTTATCATATTTTTTGTTTCGTTTGTTCGCTTCGCGAGGCAGGGAACTTGGTCCTATGGTAGGATGAATTCGAATAAGAAAGACGAGAGGAAAACTATTGGAACCAAAGCGTGGGTCCTCTTCGTCGACGGAAGCTCGCGTCACTCTCGATCGGTCGAGGATTTTCTCCCAAAAGTCGACGGAAACATCGTTCGTTTTATTGTTTGTTCGCATGAAAAAATTGATGCAATTAATAAGTAGTGATGATTTATTTTATTTCTCGTTCGAATAGTGACGACATTCGTCTGCCTTATTCTCCGCCCGGTTCTCCACCTCCCTGCTTACGTCTCATTCGCTACGGGCAGTGCCATTATTTACAATATCGTATAAACGGAGCCTGGGCATGTACGTATTTCAGAATCAATCTAACAAACGTCCTTTAACTAGATAACGAGATTTTTATCTAGGGCCGTACACGTCTAACACCGAGACAACTATGTTGATATGAGTTTTTTCCTTTTTTTTCCATTTATTAATTACTCACGCTCGCAATCATCGTCGTCGACGCTCGACGAATTCGCTCGTTCGTTCCACATTCGCGCAATTATCAACGAACACGCACGCACACACGCATGCAAACTCACACACACGCATAACACGTACGCCGTTCGTCGTTCGTCGTTCGTCGTTCGGTCACCGAAGTATTTTTTTTTTTTTTATAGCCTTATTGCCTAGATCATTTTTTCATTTTTTTTTTATTTAGGAACAGTCCCCTTCGAAAACGTTTACAACGAGGCGTTTAGGATGAACGAAAGGAAGGGAAAAAAAGAAACAGAAACTATATATCGTTAATGGAACGCAAGTAAATGAATCGTATAATCGTTAACGGCGACGTTGGCCGCGTCGCCCGGGAATACCTCAGTCTTGGGCTAGAACGAAAGAACAGAAAAATCATCGTCAACCAACCGTCGGCCGTCGCGCGACGTCGCGTCGGTCGGCGACGATTTTCGCAGGATCAACGATACGTGCGTCTCGATCCAACGAAAGCCGATCGCGACCGGATCGCGACAATAAATATAACCAACGAACAAAACGCGCTACAATAATAGCGTCGGCGTAACTATGACGCGACCATCGAGACGATGTTTTCGCGCGTCGAACGATCAAAAAAAAGAAAAAAATTTCTTCTGCTCGTCCACGTTTTTACCTTTCCTCTTCTCTTTTTTTTTTTTTTGTCCATTTCGTTTGAAACGCGAACATCTCCGATCGGTCGTCGTCGGGGTTTTTCTTTTTTTTTAACGTTACATAGAACGGCCATTCGCGTGATCGCGGAAAACAAGAAGTAAGCGCGAGAATACTCGACGGACGCCTCGCGCGACGAATCATAGCGCCGATAAACCTAAACAACTTTGGCATCTTCTTAACCATTTAAAACAGTTTTCGATAATAATTTAATATCGGGATAAAATAATGAAGACGGCGTTTACAGTCGCTGCACAACCGCGTTATAATAATAGTGGCAATGGATAATAATAATAGTAATAATAATAAAGGCAATAATAATAGTAATAATGACAATAATAATAATATTAATAGGCAATAATAGAAATTGTAATAATAATAGTAGACAATTTAAGTCAATAATAGTACTATGATACATTTTACATAGGATCGAGCTAGGTGCTTAAAATCTAGAAACGCAACGCGTGTTCCGTTGCCATGCTTCGCGTTACGATCAAAGTATCCTAAGCGTAGACGCGTTAACAGAGCTCTCGAGATACCGATGCGCGCGCGCTTATGTACAGACAGGATCGTCGATTCCGCGAGAAAAAAGAAAATTTATTAAAAAAAAAAAAAGAAAAACGAAAAAGAAACAAAATAGAAAAAAGGAAACGAATAATCGCGGCGTCGTTGGACGCGTTGTCGCGTCAGCGACATCGGGTCTAATGTACAAAAAGATTTTCCTCGCATTTTCTCCCTTTCTCGTCCTTTCCCTTTCGTCCCTAATACATACAGAGTGTTTGCAGGTCTCCATAGTATATAACGTAACGTACATATATATACACAAACACGCTTCACATACATATATACATATATATTACGTTATACAGTATGTATAATGTATCTATCATTAAATAAATAATCTTCAAATGCGATAATAAAGTCACTATGTTCATTATCCTATGTATAATATTTATATTCTGTATAATTTTTGCATTTAGATTTTATATTTATATATATATATATTTATATTCTTTATATGTATATATATATATTTATAGCGTCTTTATTTATAACTATTTATAAGGATATATTTTAAATAACTGTGCTGAGACTCGCAAAAGTGGTAACCATTCGTTCTCTAGTTGAATCTTTAAACTCGGAGCAGGTCTTTTTATCGAGTACCCCACTCTTTGTCTCTTCTCTTTCTCTCTCTCTCCTACGCTTGGCGGAACCGTGTGCTCTTCCGGTTCAGTGTTCGTTATCGAAAGTGCCCTCGGGTCGGCTTTCGGGTCGAGCCAAGCATCCGGAAGGGTCTCTTCCTCGTTGTGTTTCGATTCCCCGCGTACTCGTCGTCGGGACCGTTTCCAGGTCCTTCGATCGGCTATTTCCCCACCGACCTACCGCCCCTCGCTCGCCTCTCCTAATCCCGAGAGGCTCTCTTGGACATTTCGGTACGCTCGGACGTCGCGTTCGACGGGGACGTCGCGTCGAATCGCGACGGTTCGGATCGGTCGTTCTCGGACTCCTACTTGCTCAGGATATGCCTTCCGTCTACTCTGTCTCTGCTTACTCTCCCGAGGAGGAAGATCCGCTGTTCAGTACACCGGGTAGGGCGGCCTGTGCGGCCACAGTGGCGGGATCGGCGGTAGGCTTCCGTTCCAAGATCAAGTATCCTTAGTACTCAAGGAGGAGTCCTCGTCTTGACTGCCCGGGTAGGACATGCCCAGCTTGGGTCCCTGCTGCACCACCACCACGCACTTCCTCATGTGCTTCTCGAGCGTGCTGGGCACCGAGAACGGCATCTCGCAGAAACGACACTTGTAGGTGTCCTTGCCGTGTCGACCGTGCGTCTTCATGTGCCTGGTGAGCTTGGAGCTCTGGGCGCACGCGTACGAACACAGCTCGCACTTGTAGGGCTTCTCGCCGGTGTGCGACCGCCTGTGAACGGTCAGGTTCGAGCAGTTCTTGAACACTTTGCCGCAGTACTCGCACGTGTCGTTTCTGCCGCTGCGTTCCTTTTTCAGCAACGGGCTGGGCAAGCCCTGGAGAGCCAGGCTGGACGTGGTGGCCTTGGTCGCTTTACGGAACTCGTTGTTCTCCAGATAGTGGGGACTCGGTAGCCAGAGGCCGCCAAAGTCCGGCCCCGAGGACCTGGGAAAACCCTGGCCGGAGAATATGTTGGGCGTGGTCGAGGAATTGAAGTTGGTGGGCGACAGGGCGCTGTCTTTCTCTTTGTTGTTGTTGAGAGAGTTGGTCAGGTTCGACGGTGATTCCGTCTTGATGAATCCTCCGCGATGGTTCTCCTGGAGGGCCTGCCGGTAGGCCTCCGAGTACTGCGCTATGTTGCTCAAGCCAAATTTTTCCATCAGGTCGCCCACCAAGCTGGCCGGTTTTTGATCGACCCGGCCGCTGCTCTCCTCCCCGCTCTGACCCTGCGTGGTGCTCAGATCTTCCGGCGTGTTCTCGGTGTCCTCGCGTTCCGCCTTCTGGTCGTTCTCCTCCGCCTCGTCCAGGTCCATGTTCTCGTCGCAGCTGGACCCGTCGTCCGGCACGGTCTCGACGCTGCCCTGAGGACTGGCCGCGTTCAGAGCCTCCTGGTGCTCCTTCCTCATGTGCTTCCTCAGTTCCGCGAAGTTGGCCAGCTCCAACTCGCATACCTCGCACCTGGTGGGCGTCGTTTGACCATCCTGGGTGCCCTCTTGCTGGTACTGCCTCTCCTTGTCCCGGTGACTCCGTCGGTGTACGATCAGATTCGACTGGAAACGAAATTTCTTATCGCACACCTCGCACGCGTAGATGGTCTCCGAGGCGGAATCGGTGATGATAGGGGTGGAGGCGACCGGCGGGCTGGTCTTCTCGCTGTCCGTCGAGTTGTTGTTGTTGTGGTGGCCGACCGGGCTCTGGTTGTAGCAGGGCGGCGAGTTCTCTTTCTGGTGGTTGGCGTGAGCGATGATCGCGGGGTTGTTCCCCGCCGGGCTCGGGGGCTCGACGGACTGCGCGTGGTTCTGGATCGGCTGTTGCGGTTGCTGCTGCTGGACGGTACTTGGCACTGGTACAGGCGGTACCGGGGCAGGGGGATTCGCGTTGGTCGTGGTGTTCCCGCTATTAGGTGGAGCCGCGCCTAAGGACGGATTAGCGAGGCTCCTTAGGCGCGCCGAGTAAAAATCCAGGTTGGTCTCGAGTGGTGGTGGATGCGCTTGGCCGGCCAGACCGCGACCGTGCGACAGTTCGGCCAAGTTCGCCAGGTTGCGGGCGTTGTTCAGCGAGTCCAACGAGCTACGAACCAACGGGTCGCCGAGGTTCAGACCGTCCATGCCTCGGAGCGGATCGCCGAGGTTCTGGAGGTTCCTGGTCGCGGTCTGGAGCTCTTGGAGGCCCCTGTAACCGGCCAGCGGGTTCAGCGCCAGAAAGTCTGACCTGAACATCGGCGGGAAGCTGCGCTCCAGGTGTTGAGGTAGCCTCAGGAAGCTGTGGAGCGGGTCGCCTACCAGCGACGCGGACGACTGCAGTTGCTGTCGTCCACCACTGCTGCCGCTCGAGTTCGTACCGCCGGACGAGTTCGCCGCCGACGAGCTCCCGGTCGACTTGCCGCTCAGGTTCAAGTGATTCGGCGGACTCAGATGGTGAGCGTGGGTCGGCGTGGGCGTCGGCGGACTCGGGGCCGGCGTGTTCGACGAGGAATTCGTCGACGACGACGGTGAGGTGTACAGCCTGGCGCCGTGCACGCTCTGCACGTGCTGCAGCAGCTCCCAGGCCGATGACAGTCTCCTGGAGCACTGCGAGCACTGCAGCCATCTCGGTTCTGAAACATAACAAAATCACGCGGCTCTGGTTAGACGTGGTAAAAGGATTCGAAATTCAACCTTGTCAAAAGTTCATCTAATTTGAAAACAAGAAACAAAATTCCTTTATTTTACCATTGTCGTTCGATACGGCGGGTTCGAGCTTCCCAGCTTAAAAGCACAAAGAGTCGCGGAGAGCGAGAAACTCCGTAGCCTGTTTCGACACTGGTTAGGCATCCGTTCGGATTCGACGCGGCCGGAGGCGATTATGCGCGCGATAAGTTACGACAGGCTGATTATCGCGGGGCTCGATGATCAATGGCGACGCGGTTGAAAATACGGGACACGCGGAGGAGCGACACGGTGTTGGTGTCGCACACGTAGACAAGACCGGGGAACCCCAACTATCAATTTTCTGGGCACCCTTAATTTCGCGGGATCGGGATAGAAATCGGGTCCGTCGATTGAATTCGGAATTCAAACGGCGCGCCTGTGTCAAATTGCGGCTCCGCCGGCACGTTGCGTCGCTGGGGCTTAAAAATAATATCTCCGTGAAAGATGGTCGATGGCTGATGCGCCCGGGGGTGGGCGATAGGGCGTCGAAGGCGATGGGGGAGAGATCGGTTGCGGTAGAGCGGCTGAAACTGACCCTTAACGACTTCTCGACCCTCTTGCGGCCCCGCGAGGGGGGCAGAACGCGCGGGAGGGACGGGTTTTGAATTTCAATGTTTTTAATCCCGGAATATCAGATTTTCGTCCATTTTTCACGGTCCGCGACGGCCGCTAGGGCGTCCGTGGGATTTTATTAATTCGAGGCCACCCTCGCGGACGAACCGAGACAGCGCGAAGGAAAAGAGCGGAACAGACGTCGTCGCGATGCTCTCGCCATGTGCTCGAAGAACGACCCTTATTTCGCGGCTTGAAAACGACGTCGAACATAACCTCGGGAACATATTCGCAGTCCCCGTAGTTCCGGTCGTTGGAGATGATCGTGAGGGGGTGGAGAAGCCGCGCAGTTTTAGGGGGCGTGCACGAGCTGCAAATTGCGAAACGTTATTGTTTATTTACAGTAAATAAGCACCGTATCTACTATCTATTTTATTTTTATTTAGTCCAGACACCCGTCGCGAAATTTCCAGAGATGATTTTGCCTCTAGTATTTTTCTAGCAACCCACCAGTAAACGGATTTACTTTCGATTGTCTTTTTTACTTAGAATGGGGTTATTTAGAAGCGTTCGTAAACCGCTGTGAAAGTTATTTCTGTACATTTTCTTATTATCAAGTTCGTTTTCCATATTACGTCGTTTCGGAATAGTTCAGCTACAGGAAAAATGAACCGAGGACAAAGGATCCGGGGAAAAATAAAGCAGTCCTAATTAAACGGCTGTTCGAGATAGGGGAAGACGTTCGAGCGAAGAAAGTCTCTCGGAAAGCGTCTTAAAGCCGAACTTCCTCTAAACCGGAGTTTACGTTTTACGCGAGTTTCTTCAGCTCGATGTGCTTCGCGAATTTTTGCGAAATAATACGTTCTCAAGATTTGGAAATCTGAAATTACTATAAACCGATAGCGGGGGCAATAATGAAACACACGCGTAACACATTTAACATAAAATCGACGAACGTAGAAAGACCTATTTCGAAAGGGTTGCAAATGTCTGAAAATACTTGCGGAACCGCTGTTAGGACATGTCGCGTGAATGGCGAATATGTGCAGAAGCGAATGCGGCCCGATGTCCAATAAATGAATCACGTTCCCTCGGATGCCAGCGACAATGCGACAGGTAAACAATGAATCCTAAATTAAATTAGAAACAACTCGGGGACGTCAACTTAGTAAGTGATAGGACGCTGAGCGACAATACACAATGGAACACATATCGCCTCATGTAACAAGGTGCTAAGTAGAATAACGAGGCTGCCGGTGGGCGACGGATTTTTTCTTCCCCGCCTCGCTGACCTTTCACCACGATTACGCTTGCGTTTACGCGTCGCGGTGAGAAACGCTCGCGGAATGAACGATAGAAATAACCGGCGATCCCTCGCCGATAACCTCCTCGACGATGAGAAACGACGAGTCGGCACGTAAACTGGTCTCGAGTCTTGACCACCGACTGCCTCGAAGGGTGGACAGTCTAGAAATTACCTGACCCTTTGTCAGGTAAGAATTTCTATGCACGGTAATACAAACTACCATTATAAATACCGAGTGCACGATTTACAAGCTCGTGCAATTACTTGCGAAGGATGATCGAAAACAGTCGCGGACAATTGTGCTCGAACAAACTCGCTCTCACACTTTGGCTAGCAACCAGTCTTTCTAGGATTAATATAAATAATACGAATAGAACGCGGAGTGGCTGTTCGGAGAGGGAATCGCGCGCGTTGTCAATTAAACGCCTTTGTGCGACAGGTATTCGCGGTAGGTGGAGCAAAACGCTTCCTGGTTGTTGGAATTCCGGTTAATCGAACGATGGTACGAATCTTTACCGACTTGGAATTTATCCTAAGAATTACAATATAAGTAATGGTAATTTAAAGGTTTAGAAACCTCGATCTCTGTCGCAACGTTTATTAATGTTTGGGAACACGAACAAACGCAAGAGTGAAATATTTTTGAGTGTGAGTCGATGAGCGTGGCGAAAGAGACGCGTCGTGTTTTCATCGAGTCATCGATTGGAACCTTTCCGAGGACCGGGTCGAAAAGAAAATTAGAAAGCGAGGAAAGGGACCAGTCACGCCGCAAATGAGGGGTCATCGAGTGGGCAAACCGTGAAAATTCGGCATATTGTTTCGCGCCTCCGGGCTGCGGCGCCCCTCGCGTACGACTCTCCGCCCGGAAGTCGAAAATATTGCCGAGTTTCCTCGAGCCGAGAAAAGGGGACCGGCTACGACCAGAGATAAGCAAGTGCTCGAGCATAATAAAGGTGTATCGATTCCACGGGCAGAACGCTTTTCATATGCAAACGTCGCGGGTGGCCATCCGTTAGGATTATTTCTTTAGATTTTTACGATCCTCTATGGGAAACAGTTCACCCTTCGGGGGGAGGACGAGGGAGGGACGCATCCATCATGATTCACGGAATTAAACTTTTCGAGTAAATAACGTAACAGAAAAAAAACCTACGTCTATACCTTTGTTTAAATATCTCCGATATTTTGACACTCGCGTAAAGTATAATTTTTTATTCGCGAGCTCCTCTTTAAGATACGAAAGTAATATCGATCTACATTAAAATACAATCGAAGCTGCTAAGTTGGAGAATATATGTTTCAGTTTCGAGGGAGCGATTTTCCCCTTTAAACAGTCTCATTTTGCCGGAGCCCAATACTTTATAATTCGTCGTGCTGCGAACCATGACCGAGAGCTAAATTTGTCAGGCTATCATGGAACCAAACGAACAATATGGCTGCGTACGTATCTCTGTCCTACGTCGCTCGCGATAGTGACCGAACGATTTTCCTCAGAAATTGCCCGACAAATTGGCCCACGCGACGTTTACGGGCAAATCGTTCGGAATGCCATTGTTTAACGACGAGCCAAGCCTTGGTCAACCTACGGATACCTCCTTTCAACCCCTTCACGGAAGATTTCACACGGAGCCTAGCTACCCTCGTTCTGGGGACACTCTCTACAAAATAATTTTCCAAATCCCGACTCTGCACGCATTTTTCGCGGTGGACATTTTCATCCTATCGTCATTTATTTCGTACGTTCCTTCTAAAAACCATATTCACGACATTTAGATTTCGAAAGTAGAGTTGAAAATTCCTTTTTACACGTGTGAAACAGATTTTTAAACAAAGAATCATTTCTATGGCATTTCTAGAATAGAATCTCAGAATTTCAGTATTAGAATTTCAGAGAACAACAATCGTTGGAGAAAATCGGTATTTTCCGCGACGGATTTATTAAAATTATAGTTGCGCATGGACGCGGAGGAAATCTTTTCGCTTTTCAGCCGGGCACATCTGCCGTCTATGACGTCACGACCCACACACACACACACACAATACATATACACAAAGGCCTTTAATCCAGAATGGCGTGTGACAATATTAAAATATCGATTAGCCAACGTATGCGGCGTATGCACTTTGTCCTACGTACAAGGGTTGCACTTAAAAGGGACAACGTGCACGGGATCATATCCAGGTAGCTAGATTGTGGGCGATTTTAATCAGGGCCGTCAGGCGGATTATACGTATTCCAGAAATGACCGATCGAAATTCGTTTCGGAATGCCGCCGCGCCGTGAAATTCACTCGACAGGCTCACTTGTGGTTTTGTTCGCTCTTCGATGCTCCCTTATGAACGTTGCACAGCCAATTTTTACGAAACTTTACGCAAACGTTCGTTAAATCCACCGAAGCATTTTACCCTAATCGCTAGACATCACTTTTCGACTATAAAATATGAAAGTTTAGAGGTACGTTAATTCGTTAAAAATTATATTTGAACGAAGATCAAATCTCCCTTCTCCCTTATGTCACGAAGAAATTTTAATTTCTATTTGCGTCTATGTTTAATATTATACGCAAGCTCCAAAATTTTTCTGACATTGTATTTTTCAATTTATATTATATTTGAATGAAGATTAGATCCCCCTTCTTCCTTATGTTACGAAGAAATTTTAATTTTTCTGACATTGTATTTTTCAATTTGTACCTACAAAACTATCGAACTTCCCAGTGTTGTCTAAAAATTTCACTATAGCTAAATTTTAAGGGAGCATAATTTAAACGAGTTTAACAGTAAAATGATTGAGTCGATAAATTAATCAAGAGCGAATCGAATGTACAGAGAAAACTATAGGAGATCTCGATACGTTTAAACGATAACAACCGAGTATAGCTGCTGGAGAACGATAAGTATGATCTGTTTCATGTGTAGGAGAGTTGTTTGTGGCTGGTTTCCAAGAGCGTTTTCTGTCGGTGGACGTGTTCTCGCGCGTGTCATGCTGGCGTTCTCCGTAGCCGCGTGGAACGGAGAGAACGGTTCGGTCCTACGAGCAAAAATATT